GGGCGGACGGACGGACGGACGGAGGGACGACGGACCCCGGCGCCTGTGCTTCCCCTGGAACCGCACAGCGGGGACGCCGGCCGCTGGCCGAGGAACCTTTCCTGGGGCTCCAGGAGGGCGCGGAGGCCCCCCCCCCGCCTCGGGCAGCCGGAGGGAGGCCGAGCTCGTTACCGACGCCGCCGGAGCTCCGCGCTCCCTCGCCGGCACCGGGCAGAGCTGGGCCTCGCCTCTCCCGACGCGTGCCATCAGGTCGCTGCAGCGCGATCTCAGTAAAAGGCGTGCCGCCGATTACAGACATAAAACGCAGTCACAGGGGATTGCTTAGAGCGATTTATGCCCCGCGCCGGAAGCCACGATCGCAGACGCCCTGCGGAAGCCTGACACGGGCGCGCGTCGTTTGCACCACGCCGAAAAGCTTACCTGGAACGGTGGCAAAATACATAGGGAGGGAGGAAACTGCCAAGCACGGAGCGAGGCGGCACCCTCGTCCCGCGGGGGAGGAGAGGGGAGGACGTACTCTAAGACCGGACCTCTCAGTACGCAGACCGCGCTGGGCTCGCCCCCCAGGTCTATCGAGAGACGCCTCCCCTCGTCACACCACAGAAAGCACTCCTGCAGAAACCCGAGGACTTAATTTTCAACTGAAAATGGAGACAGTCTGACAGCTCCGGCTTTAAATGTGGAACCAAACCCAGCGAAAGCATTCCTGTGGTGCACCACAGTCTCTCCTCTCAGCTGCAATAACTAAGATCCAATATGCTGCGATCGGTGTTTTAATTTTCCTCCTGACGGACTAAAGGTACCACAACTTAGGGCTTTCTTCCCTTTTTGCGCAGGGACTGGCCTTCTCCTGAAAAGGCAACGAACCGGCTTCCGGATTCTAAGAGTGAAAAAAGGTGGTCACCTCTCTGCTCGCTGCGACGAAAGCTGCACGATCGTTAGAAAGAACATTCCACCAGAGCAGCAGCTGACTGCCGCCACCTCGCATCCCGCGTCTCCACAACCACGAGCACTGCAGCGACCGTCCAGCCAGCGGAACCAGGCGTGCGCTGGCTCGGCACGCTTACGTCAGCCAGCAGGGACAGCGGGGGCTGCTTTCACCCAGCTCAAACCACTTCTTAACTACTACCGCTTTTCAACAGGCGCGCGCGCTGTGAAAACCAAGCGTGGAGAGAGGAACCACGAGCTCGGATAGCAGCTCTAATGGTCTCGTTCTGCGCACAACTGGGGAGGGTCCGACTTGATTTACCTCTTCGACTTTCTTAACTAGTGGGCGTGAGTTTCTAATGAACGTGATTCTACCGATCTTGAAGTCATAGTTGGGTATTCCTCTGGAAAAGAAGCATAAAAATGTTACGCAGGAAGTTTTATACCTACCGTCCAACGGAACGCAGCGAGACCTACTCTGTCTGTCGGCACTGTACCAACGCTGACCGCTCGTTCTCATCACCAAATAGTTCTACAGTTAAAGCACCGAATTCTTTTCTGACGGCAGGCATACGTTGCATGAGGTCAGTAATCAGACACGGGGGCTGCTGCAGGAGCTTGCCTGCGGCACATCTCCACGGAGCCTGTGGCCTCCACAGGGCCACGGACACGCTTGTCCACCAGGGCTCGGGTTTTGTTGTGACAGATGTAAACGACAGAACACGACAGGAACCACATCCCTGCACGCTTCCACCAAGTCTGAATTTTCTAAATTTACTTCTAAGGAAAAAAAAAAAGGCGACAAACCCACACATGGCTTGGCTTTGGTTACCCACCCAACTCTACGCCAAATGTCACTTTAGAAAACTGGCAGGGTTCTGTGCACCGCTCGGCCCAGCCCGGCCTGGGCCTGCTGCCTCTCCCCGCTTGTCTTCCACCCAACCAGAGTTGAGTGAGCGAGTTTGGGCCACATCAACTTGGGATCTGCACCTTAAGCAGTCAGGGACATCACAGTCAGCCTAGAAGATCAGGCTATCTATTTTCTCACTGCAACTGTAGGAGGAAATCAGCTTGTTTACACTGCAGGAGCAGAAAGAACCAACCCCAAACTCTGCTCAAACACTGGTCCTTGGCTGGCTGACAAGCGAATGAAACGGACATACCTTCGGATGTCTCCGGGCTTAATCGGCGATGGACTAGGCTCAACGCCTTTCTTCTTGCCATCCAGTCTGTTCCCAGAACCAGAGAATGCCTATGGATACAGAACGAGTTTTTACTTAAGCGTATCTTGTATTTGAAAGCACACCGCACAGGGATACTACATTCTGTAAAACCTTGCTATCGTTTTTATTGAATTATTTGCCTCAGCATGTTTCTTTTTGGTGCGTATAAGCTGATGAACCCTGGGTGTAGGAGCATGTTTCGGTCTCCCGCTTACGGACTGCCCTTTTAAGGACAGCAAGTCACGCTGTCTGTCACTGGCTGGACGCAGCACAGAACGTTTGCAGACGCTTGCCAGCTAAATGACGAGCACCCTAAGAGCAGGTACTAGCATTCTGCAGTTGTTTGGAACAGCTTTCCCGCGCCATTTTACAACACTCAGAAGCCAGCGGAAATAGGGGACTTACACGAAATCCTATGTCACTCACGTATCCACTGTGGTCTGCTTCAACGTCCTGGGAGGGAAAAAACAAGTTGGTTCGTTGTGTTCATGTTGCGATATGCAGAACACAAGAAAACACTTCCACACAGTTCTAATCAAACAAAACTTCAGAACAATCCCTTTCCAAAATCAACAGCTGGTAAACAACCATCTCTGAAGTAACACAAGCACAAGCGTCTGGTAAGTAAAGTTCACTCTGAAGAAATCGTTTCAGGGAAAAAAAAAATTAGGTTGGCACTCGCTGCCCCATCACAAGCAAGGCTGACTTCTAGGGAATACATTTTTGAAGAACAGAAGCTTAACCTACCGTGGTCTCTTCATGCTGTGCACTTCTTTCTGGTTCTTTGTACCCCAAAGGAGCATCAAAATCCACCTATGTACACAAGGACGACGAAAATAAGCATGACTGATACTGTTCTTTTCCTCCTAAGCTTTATACTACTGTTCCTCGAGCCTCCACAAACGATCACTCCATTTTGACCTAGAAAGAACTGAGGTTCGCTTGTTAAACATTTTAACTCAGAACTAAAAAGACTAAGCCTCCCCGGAATGAGCCTTGGCATGTAACTGAAACGGAGCAGTAGAAGAGCACCCAATATCACTGGAGTTTGAATCAAGACAAGGCTGTTAAGTAAAACTCAGATCATAAACCACGTTGAAGCTAGACATTAAACTCTAGGCACTACAGCCGCCTGATGGCACACGAAGCGTAGCTCGAGACCGCAGGTGTGGTTACAAAGGCACACGCGGTCTCCCCAGTGAGCCACCTTCCCTGTCCCACCTGATTTTACCTCTCCTGCAGCACCAGAGGCGCCTGGTGTACAGCGCTACCACGGAATGAGATGCCCTCTCCGTTGGGGGGGGCACAGTAAAAGCAGACCTTCCACATCAGCTTAACTTACATTCATATCGCATTCTATGATGGACACGGCCTTATCTGGTTTGGTCTCCATCACCCGAAGCTCATAGATCTGAAACAGTAATGAATATTTTAAGATTGCACATGCTTATACATAAGAAAAGCGTATCTAAACCTCTCCCTTCAGATGGCTCCAAGAAAACCGAAATAAGTGCTCTTTAGGTTGAGGACTGGATACTTCAGGGTCTCTACAGAACCTGAGAGCACCGATTTTTACCTCAGAAGATCGCTATACACTGGAGCTAGAGAACCTAGCTTTTACTGTACCTTGCTGCACTCTTACTGTACCTTAATCGGCATTTTTGAAAAAAAACTATGAATTTAGGATAAATTCTGTCCCCTGACTTGTAAAACCATCAACAGCACAAAAAGTTATTTTCTTGTGAGTCAAAAACCAGTTTAAACAGCAACTCGGGAGAAAACTTAACGGACCCCTTCTTTCCTCCAATGGAAAAGCGACTGCGAAATCGACCACCTGGCAGTACTTGTCAGCAACGCTGCACAGCTCTGCCTGCAGCGTTTTAGCACCAACATCCAACAAGCTAGGATGCTGGCTACAGCCCCAAGCGATCACAGGGGCACATCTGCTGCCAAAAATACTCATCCATAAAATCTATTCCCAAGATGTACTCAAAGTACTTATGTGGTCACAATCTGCTGAAACATAGCGCGCATTTTTACATGGGGCAGAATTTGTTTCCCCAAACTGACGGTATCCAAACAACCCTTGCATGGACTGGTGTTGCATACCGTACCTTTTCATTGTAGTTGATGGCAATAACGTCCCCAGTAGTTAGACAAGCAAAGTTTCTCAATGCATTTTCTAATCTTTGGAGTATGTTAAGATGAAACATTTGTTTTCAATGCAACATCAGAGCTTTAAAGTTACTACGTTACAGAACTCTGATCCTTGGCCTCTCAAACGTGGTTTAAAAGTCACCAGTAAGTACTGTAGGTAGCCTTTTAGTAAACGTTAGGGTGTACAAGTTCTTCTAAGGGACACTCAAACTCCTTAGACTTTAAGCCAAGACTCACGCTTCTTCACTCCAGGCTACACTTCGTGCCAGCAGTCGGCAACACCTCTGCACAGAAGTTCTCCCTCCTTTTTGCCTTCAGAAGGAGCAGCAGTCATTATCTACTACTGGAAGAGTATGAGCCACACCTGAAAAGCTAGCTGGCTCTGCCTCATCGTTCCCATTTGGGAGAAAACTTTTGTCCCCTGCTCCATAGCTGAATAGGAAGGATACACAGCTTTGGGATTGGTGATGTCAAGAAAATCCGGACTCTGCGGCTGAAACTTTGAGTAAGTAGCGACTTGAAGGTTAACACTCTCCACTTGCACCAGGCCTCCCTCTTCCAGCAGCAAGTTCTGCATCATCTGCAACAACAAAGATACAAACCGCTATCAACGTGACTGGTGGTGTAAATTCTCTTTCCCTGCGGATACCTATTTTCGCTGGGGCCTCCATCTTCCTTGAGATGCACCAGTTTAACACGGTTTAATCTCAGGAAGAACAGTCAGGTGCATCTTAAGAAGCAGTCTGCTCTGCTTACTTCGTTAAACTCTCACGGAGGGAAACCTGAGCTGTGACTGAAAGCCGCTGTAGGAACATGACTAGCAAAGATACGCACTTCCAGGAAACATTCCGCCTCTTTCATATGAAACTGGCAGCTCACTAATCCTACTCTTCAGGTTTTGACCGTTCAGCATGAGGCAACTCACCCAGTGTGGAAGGTAACATATGCCCTCATCAGCCACAAATTCGAGCACGCCACAGTGCGTCATTCGGTCTGAATTTTTATTGGTCAGCTTAAACAGCATCGGGTAAGTAATATTAAGTCGGCCTGGTGAGGAAGGAGAAAAGAATTTTGTTTGTTAAAAGCCACCAACACATTTCTGAAGCTTTCAGAGACTGAACATTAGCCAGAGAACAGGCCAGACTACAGGAGAGGATTCCTCTCACACCATTATTCCAGTTGCTCAAAACTGCAAATCCAGGAGAGAATGCAGAATACGAACACTGTATTGCCATCGCACTTCAAACTTTAAATGTCTCTCCAACATTTCCGCAAGCTCAGAGATGAGCAGGCAGCGGGTATTAGCAGAGGAATCTATTCCTGTTATGTTCTTGTGCTATTATCAGTTAGGTCCTACCTAATGAATTTTAACAGGCCCTGCCTATTTTAAAATTAAATCCTGACTAAACTAATTTCTCAAATAAATTCTACTAAGGCTAAAACTCGGTGGGGGGGAAACCCCTTTGTTAAAAAGGCTAATAAAGACCACGTATACTATTGATTCAGTTATCTTTTTCCCCATTTCCAAGACTTATTTGGTCTTTAAAATAAATTTTGCTCCAGACAACAGCATCCAGAACAAGCAGGCTGAGATTAAGAATTCGCTAGATTGACTGTAACCATTATACCGAGTACGCTATTAATAGTTAATAAATATTGATTCATGCTTCAGGTAGCCCAACACTTCAGATGTCTGTACTTGAAGACAGACAAGCCTCATTAATTCTGACAGACAAGATACTTCCAAAATACATTTTTTGAACTAATTAGCCTCATATTCTCTATTTAAGTCAGATTTTAATAGATAACTAAAATACCGTGGTATTTGCTTGCGCATTTGCTCCTATTTCTAATGTTGTTATTCCGGAATAAAATATCCACTTACTGAGTTGATCCAAAGCCGATGGTGGCATAATTACTGCAGAAATGAGTAAGAATGTACGATTAGGAAAAGTATGACTGTACACAGAGCACACAACATACAATTTTATCATTCCTTTCTCTAAAATCTTCTCTAAGAAAAGGAGATTCTAAAGTCTCCTGCAAATCCATTTTTAAGCCAGAGATTTCAGTAGAATCAGTCACGACAAATACACCTAGCATGGAGATTTCAAAATTTAGTCAGAAAAAAAGAGAAGACAAGGTTTTACAATACCTGGTACTAAAGAAAACGTTTCTTAAAGGTAATTTTATTTGCTGGGCTTAGAGGCGCTCTTAAATCGATGCCAACTCAAAACAACATAGCATTAGTCTGACAGCCCGAAAATTAAGTTGGCTGATCTATTCTCTTTGTTCAAGCTAAGGGAGGTACAACAAGGAGGGGAAAAAAAAAAAAAAAAGCCCTTAATCATAAATTTCCATGGCTCGTAATGGGCCTAAGATTTTAACAAGAGACTTTAAAAATGAAGAACGTCTTTTTCTAATGCTGGTAAGCCAGGACTCGCTCGGTCAGTTTTTTAATTGCGCAGTAATGCGATAAACCCCTCCTCCTCCCTTCCTGGAGCCCCACCCGGGCTGCTCTCCCAGCTCCAGCCACGAAGCCAACAGCGCGTCTCCATGCTGTTCCACAAAGTTTCTGCAGCCTTGGCCAAAAGCTGTATTGCTTGACATTATTCACAAACACTTTCCCCACAGGTTATTAGTCAAAATAAAACATGCACATACTCTTCCCGCCTTTCTCCACATCTGACCTGTCATTAGGTCCAGCAAGCATGGATACCGAGAAGCAGCGGTACTGGGTGGAGAAGCGGTTCTGGAAAACCCGAGGGATGGGGTGATCGAACATATTAAAGGAGAACTAGGGGAAAAAAACACAAGGAGTGTATTAGCAGGTGTCTAGCGCGTACTGAAGCGTCGCAGCGCCCGACGAAGCCTCAGCTAAACGAGCGCCGAGGGGCCGCTCGGCTGACGCCCCGCCGGCCGAGGGCCCCTCCGGTCCCGCAGCTCAGGGACCGCCTGGGGAAACCCGAGCGCCGCGGGGCACAAAATGGCAGCAGCGCGCTGCCAGGCGACGCCTGCGGCCAGGGCTGGGCCGGCCGGCGCCCCGCGGAGGAAAGGCCGACCCC